GTGAGAGGGATGAAGTAGAATGGTTAGGTTTGGCTTCCTCAAACGTCCTGATAACCAAAATCAGTAGAGGTAGAAATAATAATAGCAATGACAATATAACTCTTTACTGTCAATGCACTTCTCATACCCATGCATGGGGCTAACTGGCTACCACCCTCCAGGTGAAGAGACAGAGGCTAAGGGACGGTCAGGTACTGTCCATGTGACACAGTAACTGACGAATGGTCAGGTGACTGAAAAACAACACAATTCGCACACACAGGCAGTGGAACAAACGTTCATTCATAGAGAAGAGACACAACAAGACCTCTAACCATAGCATCAAGAGGTGCTACAGACAAATGGGTGCATAAGCAAATGTGGTGAAGAAAGCTGACGGTGTCCGGTTATCGAAAGATATAGCATCTGGAGCCTTAAAGGTGAACAAGCAGCCATCTAGCTCAGAAGCAACAAAGCTCACATGGAAGAATCACACCAGCCTGTGTGATCATGAGGTATTGATGGGATCAGGTATCTGGCATCAAAGACCAAAAAATCATATCATTGTGAATGAGGGGTAGTGCGGAGTGGAGATCCAAAGTCCATCTGTATGCAACTCGACATCCCCTTACAGGAGGCTCACAGGGAGGAGACGAGCCAGTCAGTATGCAGTACAGCACCAATGAAACATACAACTGTCCTCTAGTTCCTTAATGCTTGCTCCCCCCCTCCCACTATCATGACCCCAATTCTACCTTACAAATCTGGCTAGACCAGAGCAAGTACACTGGTACAGATAAGAGCTGAAAACACAGGGATTCCAGGACAGATAAACCCCTCAGGATCAATAATGAGAGTAGTGCTAACAGGAGGGTAAGGGTAAGGTGAGGTAGAAAGTGGGAACTGATCACACGGATACACATATAACCCCCTCTTTGTGGACAGACAACAGAAAAGTGGGTGAAGGGAGACCTGGGGCAGTGTAAGACATGACAAAATAATAATACTTTATAAATTACCAAGGGTTCATGAGGGAGGGGGTAGAGGGAAAAATGAGGAGTTGATACCAAGGGCTCAAGTAGAAAGCAAGTGCTTTGAGAATGATGATGGCAACAAATGTACAAATGTGCTTGACACAATGGATGGATGGATGGATGGATGGATGGATGGATGGATGGATGGATGGATGGATGGATGGATGGAATGTGATAAGAGTGGTATGAGCCCCCAATAAAATGATTTTTTTTAAATGACTCTACTTAAATCCCCACCCCCCAAAAACGAGGTGGTTTCAGACCCTCAGCCCCGCACCATGTGCAGGGCATGGCCCATAGGCAGCCAGTGTGTGCTGTGCCACATCTCTTTTGTATGTGAGTGCCAGGTTGCTCTGCTGCCCTGTGGATAAAACGGTGCTGTTTTTTTGCAACCCTGGCCTTTGGCTAACCACAAGTAGTGAGTCTGAGGCCTGTCCCCTCCCTTTCCCCCTTCTAAATACTGTGCTCTTCACACAGCACCCCAGGGTGATCCCTCAGCCTATCTTCCCCCCGATTTCTGGACACACTGGGAGTTATTCGTGAATTCCAGAGCAGCAGAGGCACTGAAGAAAGCCCATGCATCCCTATGCAGACCGCAGCAGAATCGGGTGCAGGCAGTACGGGTAAGTCGGTGAGGGCATCCAGGAAAGCAGCAAAATAAGAAACTTGGCCTTAGAGTCCTCAGAAGCTATTTTTAAAAGTCAAATGTTATGCTAAGAGCCATGCGATGTACCTGTGTGTCTGTGTAGAATGATTATTTCATTGATTTATTGAGCCCATGCCAAAGAGCTTGTGGGCATTTGTACAAGTTAAAACAAACCAACCCATGAGCCAAACCTCATGGCCACAAACCCAGACAACTTGCTCCCCACCCTTTGCCCCAAAGGTAAATTCCTGTAGCACAGTAGTTCTCAACCTGTGGGTCGGGACCCCTTTGGGGGTCGGATGACCCTTTCACAGGGGTCGGCCGATTCATAACAGTAGCGAAATGACAGTGATGAGGTAGCCGTGAAAATAATTTGATAGTGGGGGGGTGTCACCATCACAGGAGGACCTGTGTGGAAGGTCACGATGGGGAAGGTTGAGAACCGCTACGGAGCAGAGGCCTTACTTGAAGAGATGAGCCACTCCACCAGCGGCATGTTCCATCCATACCTTGTGCCAATCGCACCATCAGAGGCCGCGTATGCCAGAGCTGTCCCAGAGAAACCAGCCGGGCTCCTCCCACCATACAGAGAACCCGCTCCGTGTTGGCAGGAATTTCCAGGAATGACTCAGGAGCCAGCTTGCAAGCAGCGGTCACAGGAGACCTCTCCCAGAATGGCCCGGAGGCTCCCCTGCTCACAGCGCTGCAGGCCTTTTGTTGCCTGGCACCATGGAAGCAGCACATCTTCTCTGCTGCAAAGCTCGCCCAGAGCCCCTGCCGGGGAGGCAAAGCCGACTCGCAGACGCTCCTGTGGGCTCCCGAGGCTCGGCTGACAAGTAGAAAGCCCACTCTTTCTCCCCAGAGCTGCTGGCGGATCCTAACCCAACGCACAGGAAGCCTTTGCTTCCTTCTGCTTCTCTGAAGAGGGTCAGAGCGTGGCTTTAACGTAGTTTACCCTGCTGCCCAAAAGCTTTGTCTGGGATCTAACCATTAGCATGCGTTTCAGGCTAACCAGCTTCCGCCAAGAAATGCACGTTGCTATGCATAACGCTATGTCCGTCTGTAAGGAGATCCTAAGAGGAGCGATAAAAGCCAAAGAGAAGTCCGTGGGTGCTTCCAACGGCTACACTCATTCAGCTCACACGCCTGGCTCCAGAGCAAATACGACAGTCATCTCCCTGTGTCTGCACACGGAGAACGGGTTTCCTACTTCAAAGTGCTCTCATCTTTACTGGGTCATTTTAATTATTGACCAGGAATTGGAAGCAATCCATATCATGTCACCACTCTGCTTTTCATGAAACATGTATCGGTCTGGTTGGGACCAGGGTTACTTCAGTGAGGCTGAAATGGGAGGGGTTAAGCAAATGGAAAGAGGCAGGGAACTCGGTGTCCCAGGGCAAACCAGGGGGAGGAAGGGGCCCCTGAGAGGGTGTTTCTCGTCCTTTCCCTATGCCAGCAACGGTAGGCTTGAACTGCTGAACTTGTGGTTCGCAGCCCAATGCGTGGTAGACTTGGATAATACATAGATGAGCGGGTATGGCTGTATTCCAATAAAAACTATTTACAGAAACAGCTGGAGGCTCAGACTTGCCACAGTCCACAGCTTGTTAATAGTTATTGTAGACCAACGATAGCGAGTGGAAAGGTTCTATGGTCATGCTGGCTAACGCAGTAGGCACTAGCTACATGTGAGCTAATACTTTACATGTAGCCGGAGTGATAAAAGAGAATGTAAATTTCATTGACTTTCAACTTTAAAGCCACCCGAGGCTACTGGCGACCGTACTTGAGAGTCACACCTTAGGCAGTGTTCTCTGCTCCTTTCCCCAGCAAGTCGAAGCCACCTTCGAATTCATGGCACAGATGAATAGTTTGCATTCAAAAGGCGCCCCCAGCTTCACAAGCAAAATCTCTGTAACTGGATATTGTGCTTGTCACGTCCTTGCTTCTTTTGAAGGCTAACCGGATTGGAGTACTTTTGTACACCTGGACTCTCACTACTACCCCACATGGAAACCAAAGTTAACGCGTTGGCGTGAATGAAATCACTGCCTGTTCGTCGGGTCGAGGCTCAGCATTAAAGAGGAAGATGCTCCCTGAGATGCATGGACGCAGCAGTTGCAGCAAAGGGGCCCACAAGGCAATGCTTGTGAGGCTCGGACAGGACCTGGCAGTTATCTCCCCCCATTGTACATACTTCAGGTCACTATGGGTTGAATTGGATGGCACCCAACATCATCAACAACCACAAATCAGGCAAGAATCAAGTGCAGAGGGGCTGAGTCCGGTCTGCGGTGAAACCTATCCGATCCAGAACCTGCCTCCTTTCTCCTCTGGACCCTGCACTGCAGCTTAACCAAAGATACAAACCTACTCACCAGCCCATTGACAGCCTCCTGAGGCAAAACAGCGCCTTCCATAGATACCTCTTTCCCTTCCCAAAGTGTGCACTCTGCATGCACAGATTTGGCTAACGGAGCCTGAGAGAGGACGTGCACCTCCGTGACAGTGCCTTCTCCCAAATGAACCCACGTGGGGCAGGGCCTCAAAACAAAACCCAGGGATAGTCATCACACGCTTGGCTATTGCCCAGATGTGGTCACCTATTTTCAGACCAATGTTGTATTCACATGATAACTACCTTGCATCTCTTTGCAGAGCCAAGGTAGAATTCAAGAAGATAGGATAGCAACACACATGTGCTGTTCTTCTAATCTGAATAAGAAACAACAAGCAGGCGTTTCCTTTAGGAAACCCAATTTTCTGAAGCCCTACTTCCTTCACCAGGGACATGAATGCTGAAAATCCAGGACATTCCTCAGGAACTAAGGACCTGTGGGACCAGGACTTCCAGATGGGGAATCCATATCTATGCCAACAAAATAAGGTATGTGACAGTTTGGGATTTTTCACAAAAATTAAATCAATCCAAATCCAATCCTCTCTCTGTGGTTCCCAAATTCAAAAGGCTTTGAAAATATAAAAAATGAAAATGAAAAAACAACAACAAAATAACCTCTTCCAAGAGAGAAGCCGACAGATATCATGGGTGATCCAACCTGTCATGAACTAACAGGAGACTTCTTGTAAACCCCTCATCGTACTCAATGTGAGAACTCTTTGCGGGCATTCTATATGTTCGCTTAGAGAGTGCTGCTGCAACTTCACCAGGGGCATTACGGAATCCCTGATCCACTCAGTGTAGCTTACCTTTTTTAAATCCCCAAATGCACCCGGCTTCAAGAGTTTGGACAAGAGATTTTCGAAGGAACCCCGGGTAGGGCATGTCTGCTCAGGTCCCTGTATCTGCTGCCTGCAATCCTGAGACAGGACCTTACCTCCGTCTGAAGGATGGCGGCTCTCTGTTCTTTGGCAGTAAGTGACTCTTTAAGCACTTCAATGTGTTGCTTGCAATCTGAATTTTGATTGCTAAGGGTTTCAAGCTTTGTTTGTAAGGCAAGAAGTTCGGACTCCTTCTTTGACAGTTCCTGCTTCAGCTGATCGATCTGTGAAACAAGAAAATTGCAAGAAATTAGAAACCACTCCTGACCTTTGGGAACTACTGATTTCTCTGGCTTTTCCATAGCCAATGAGCGTGGAGCCAATAGGATGGATCTATGAGCCACCCAATGTTAAGGGGCTGGGGGGGCTTTTGAAAGGTGGCTCAAAGTGCAGACCATTGGAAAGGTACGGTCAAAGGCTGTCTTCCACTTCCCTGAAGAAGAAGGGCCACAGCGGAATTTCCTGTCCAAATTTACTCAAGAAGTTAACAATGAACAAGCAGTCAGCAAAAGTGCTTACTTCAAGGCACGCCCCAGAAACCCGCTGCTCCTCCGCAGGGCATGTGGTCACCTAGCGCACACTTGGCAATGGAGACTCTCCTCCCTTGTACTTACATTTTGACACAAGGTAAAATACAAGTAAGTGATAAGGCTAATAATGCACTCTTTGTTCAATTTACGGAAGAGGATGTGGATTCTCTATGCCCCTCCCATTTCATTCTCCTTCCTCCTGAGCTTGTTTATTATTTCCTTTCGTCTTTCCATTTTAGGCTTACCATGCACGTAACACCTCTCACAATGTACTATTTCCTTTACCCTTTTGAAATGTATTATATGTTGTGGATTAGTTGTTGCTGTTGTTGACTTGTGTTTTTTCCTTCACAACTTTAGATCCTGGAGAGGAAACCATGTTCTTGTACGTGCAGTTCATCCCTTTGTGTTGCACACGAGCATCCGTTGAAAGAGACACCCACATTTACCCAACGCTCTGTTGACAGACATTAAGGTTAATTTTCAGTGTTTTCCCATTACAAAGAGCACTGCATTTACCACTCATATGACCTGGTACGCACGATAAATTCCCTGGGTCTCTCTCTAGGAGCTTAAGTCAGGGCCACACATTACACACACCCTCAACGTCACGAGTTGTATTTACAACACATCAATTTGCATGATCACAAGCACTCTGGAAGTTTTCCAGTCACATTACAACTTTTCCAACAACTTATACCTTTTAGATTTTTATGTTTTTGACCCTTTGATGGTCGTTGTGAGAGCTTCTCTAAAGGTGGTCACTGCTGATTCTTCTACACACATGCCATTTCTCACAATGAAGTTGGGCTGGCACGTGACCAGGTTTTGATCGGGATACTACAGCAAAGGTATCCCCACACCTGTCTCCAGCCCAGCCTTCAGAGGAGCAAAAGCTCCTGTGTCTTTCTGCCTGGGAGCCTGGTCACCATATGGGAAGCCTAACCAACCCAAGGCCACGCTAAGAGGCGGCCCGTGTGCATCAGTCACATGCAGAGGTCACGCAGGAACCAGGAGCAAGAGTAAGTAATGATGGCACGTCTGGTCTGACGGGTGGACAATCTCTATGTTTCATTAATCCATGTGATGTTTGCGTTAGCATTTTGTATATCATCTTCACGGCAGAAGAAAGTTGTCTTGTATTCCAACTTTGTTGTTTTGCATTTATGAATCTTACTGCTATTAAACATTTTTCTGTGCCTCAGAGTTCATATTCTTCTACCTCTATGTTTTTGTAGTAAATTACATCCACACGTTTTTAAACTATGAATCCACCCTTGTATTAATATGAAAAATTCTAGCTTAATCCTCAAATATTTTTATATTTTGCTGGATCCAGCTTGCTACTCCTGTGTCAGGGTTTCTCACAGCGGGCTACGAGGGAGATGTTCTGATCCGTCCTTTCAGAGTTTGCGCATGCTCTGACCTCCCGATGGACTGGAGAGTCAGTTCGTATCGAGTGCTGCTATGACAGAAATAGCGCCAAAGGAAACAAACAGGATTTTACTCTCTAAGTTTGAGGGTCCAGAAGTCCAAGGTCAAGGCTCCAACTCTAGAACACGCTCCACTGGTCTGGGGAAGTCCTTGTCTGCTTCCACACCAGGACCCTGGGGATCTCCATGGGCCTTGACACTCTTCTTGCACTGGTCTAAGAGGTCCCCAGTTCAGGGTCCAAACAATGTGCTCCACCCCCGGCTCTTCCTCCGGTAGTGGCAGTGGGCCCTCCGACCTGTCCCTGCTTCTTCTCCTTTTATGTCCAGTAAGATAAAAGAGGCTGTAAGCGATTCCCCAGGGGTATTGCCCTTCCTTCAGATCAGGCCTGTGACCTGAGTAAGGGTGTTGTAGCCCACTGTAATAATCCCCTTACAAGTGATTGGCTAATTACATCAGATGACATCATGGGGGATGATTAAATCATTACATCACTGCCAACTGACATTGCTACTTAACTGTCAAATCGCAAAGAAATGTGACCCACACTGGTTCGCACTCTTTCTTTCTTCCTTCCTTCCTTCCTTCCTTCCTTCCTTCCTTCCTTCCTTCCTTCCTTCCTTCCTTTCTTTTCTTTTGTCGGGAGACACAATTCAATGCATGACAGAATATTTTTCTCCGTCTGCATTCTAAAGTGGATTTGTTCTCTAGAATAGGCGCTGGGCTGGTAACCAAAAGGCCGGTGGTTCAAACCCACCAGCTACTCTCCAGGAGAACGACAAGTTTGTTTGTTCCTGAAAAGATGTACAGTCCCGGGAATGCTAAAAATGTCTCCATCAGTCAGCGTGAACGAGGTGGCGTGGGTGATGCTCATTAGAAATCATTAGTAGAACCATTTGGAGCAGCCTGCTACTTGTCTTTGACCAGAAGATGGTTACTTACCGACTCCATCCTTCATGGTCATCCTATGATTCATGTTTCAAAGCCTTCTGAGTCAGCACTAACTAGTTTTATATTCCTAAGAATTTCCACTCGATCTAAATGTTCACTGACTGCCAGATAGTTGTTCATAAGACTCTTTTGATCTTTGGCTATTTATGACGACTTTGATTATAGCTCCTCTGATCCTCCTAGTACTCTTTACTCTCTGTTCTTGGGTGAATTTCAACAGCGGGCAGGTCGAGTTGAACTAACTGTGCCATGAGCTGCTTTTTGCTGTGTCCATTACCCTACTGCAATTTTATTGTCCACTTCATCAACTTCTGTTCTGATGTGTTAAATTATTTTCTTCTATTTGTTTTTTCTCATTTCTTAATTTGGATGTTATACCACAAATTTTTAGTTTTTCTTCATTTGTTATAAACATAAGCCCAAGAGTATCAATCCCCTGTCATTATTATTACTCCATGCAACTTAATTGATTTGGAGCCTGACATGATTAGCCAGCACTACACCTTTTATACACCCCATTATGACCTTTGTCTTCCACCCATGAATCACCTAGAGGTATGTTTCTTAAATTACAAGTATATGGACATCTTCTAGGGTTAAAAAAATTAAATTTCTAATTTACCTTGTAAACCGAAGACATGTTTTATGTCCATCACTTAGAATTTGATGTGTACTGCTTTACGACACACTGTGCAATCACTTATCATAAATGCATTTGGCATATTGAATGCTTAAAAAGAATGTGTACCCAACAATTACTGGCATCAATATTCTAAATATGTACAGTCAATAGCACTCTTAATTGGGTTAAGTCTTCTATGTTCTGAATTTTTGAATTTCTCATTGTTGGTGATTTAGAGGGTCGGTTAAAGCCATCTACTCTGACGGGGAATCATCACTTGCATCCTCGTGCAGACTGTCAAGTCCACTGCCATCAGGTCGGGTCTGACGCATGATGACCCTGTGCGACGAGGTAGAACTGACCCTGTGGGTTTCGGTAACTCTTCACGGGAGGGAGTAGAGAGCCTCATTGCTTTCTCAAGCAGCAGCTGCTGGTTTCGAACTTTCTGACCTTGTAGTTCTGACCATGCCTCCAGGGACCCATCACTCTATTGGGAACGGCCACTGTGTGGCTCTAGACAGGTTTTCACGGTGCTAACGTCCATAACAGCTTTCACAAGACTAGTATTAGCCTCGTGTGCTTTCTTCCACTCTCAACGTTCCTACAGTGCGATCTTCTAGAAGTCTGTTGTAACTAATAGCCAGATTCCATAACAAAATTGAGTGGAGCATTTACTATTATTACAAAGATACCTAATATTAGTTCAACCATTTTTAAAATCATTTTATTGGGGGCTCATACAGCTCTTATCGCAATCCATGAATACACCAATTGTGTAAAGCACATTTGTACATTCATTGCCCTCAACATTCTCAAAACATTTGCTCTCCACTTAAGCCCCTGGCATCAGCTCCTCATTTTCCC